CAGGAAGGGAGGGAAAAAATGAGGAGCTGATACCAGGGACTCAAGTAGAAAGCAAATGTTTTGAGAATGATGAGGGCAACAAATGTACAAAAGTGCTTGACACAATGGGTGTATGTGTGGATTGTGATGAGTTGCATGAGCCCCCAATAAGATGATTTTAAAAAAAGAACACACATACATACACAAAACTGTTGTTTCTTGGCATTGTTCCATCTACGTCTAATACCTCTCAAGGTGGTGCTTTTATCTCTCTAATGCTCCCCCCCCCCTAAAAAAAAGAATTCTGTGTTCTTTTAGCATTCTGAGGGGATCAAATTGTATTACTCTTAATGTTCTTTTAGTTTGGGGAACAAAAAGGAGTTGGAAGGGGCAACATCAGGGTCATAGGGTGCATGGGGTAAGGTATACCAATGAAAGTCTCACACAGCAGCTCTTTGAAGCTGAGTGCAGGCATTCCCGTGGTGAAAACAAAACAAAACAACCACAGGCAAAGTTCCTGGGCTGTTTTCATCACTGCAGCTGGCAATCTTCTTAAAACCACCCCCACCCTGCCCCACTCCCGGTCCCCCAGAAGACAGCAGATGCCACCATCCACTCATCACACAGATGCCTTGAAACACCTTTGTTAGGAAGAAACATGCATCAACTGGAACCCTAGTAGCAATGCTTTGGGCTTTACCCTAGTGGAAATAGATCTGATTCTTGTATACTAATCTTCAACCCTAAAGCCTTCCTAAACTTGCTTATTTTCAGTGGCTTTTTGGTTGATTCCACTGGGTTCTCTACATACTTAATTATGTTGCCTGTGACGAGACATTTTTGTTCTTATTTCCCATCTAGATTAATTTCTTTATTCATGCCATATTTCAGTACTGTATTTAATAGTAGTTAAAGCAGGTATCCTTATTCCTGTTTGTCAGAACATTAAAATACTAATAAAAACGCAAGGTTGGCCTAACCAACATTCTTGCCCTTAGGACTCTATTCCCTAAGATGCAATTTTCCTCTTAGTAAATGTAAAAATGTAATACACCCCCATTTAAATAAGTCAACATATTTCA